AAGGACGGTGGAACACTTTTTGTGCATCTGCCCCGTCTTTGCAAAAATTATGTATGAGATATTTGGGTTCTTTCACACCCAATCTGCTTATGTTTAGTCAAAAATCATGCAGATTTGCAAAAGATTAAAAGGGACATGAAAACAGTGCGATGGTTGACGCAGACACGATCTACTTTATGGGATTCGCGTGTTAACCAAAACTCACCACCGCATAGCGATGACGTTGCCTTTGCTTCTCTCTCGCTCTATCAACAGTAAATTTGATATGCTGCTACGTATGTCAACCTACGTTTACGCTACGTCGTTGACTAACTTCCCTCAGATCCGCCTGGCAGAAGAAGAGGTGATCGTTTCTTGCCCAGTTTCGGAAGAAGTCATTGGCATAAAAAAAAACCCGTTCTCCAGGCATTCCTTCCAATCAAGCAATGACCCGTTATAATTCCGGTCACTTGCTTAAGTAGAGATCGTTCTAGCCGAATGAGTGCTTCGCATCTCTGCTTGTCGACAGTTGTGCCACATTTGTCAAATCATCCCACACGTGCGTTCTTCCTACTACAATTTTTATGCCCTCTCGACGAGATGTGTTTTAAGCCATGTTTTGGAGGTAGATAGCGGTATATCAGGAGAAAATCTGACGCCAGATAGGGAGGTTTCCTTCCTCGCAAGCTCGTCTGCTGTACAGCTACCTTGTTTGACTCTATGACATGGTACCGATACAATATGGGTAGTAGACTTTGAAGCTAACTTCTAAAGGACTTTTCTATGTATATTATCTGGCACTTTGCGATGAGGTTTCATACTAATATAAACGACTATTGGAGTGTATGTTTATCGAAGGCAAATTAAAAGAAGATTCAAAAAGTGCAGCCTATTTCATGACCGCGAGCTCTGCTTGGATGAGTGGTATGGCAGCCTAAGATAAGGGTCCTTCGAGTGTATCCCACTCCCTACTCTTAGATTTAGTTTAGAGCCATCCCTGCAGATGGCGGTAGAATTAAAGTCACACTTTCCTCGCCGATTTATCGTGAATTAATCCCAAAATAGTCGCGTTTCTACAGCGAATGTCCTTTTGCACATATTTATAGATCAGGAATATGGATGTGACTGGGGATCAGCATTTCAAATTTAATTGAGTTACTATTTGCTTAACTTTTCTCTATTATTTCTCGGCATACCATATGCAGGTATAAGGGATTTTATATTTTTTCACTAAAATTATTTATTTTTTTTGTACCATAATAAATAACTTTGTAGCTGGTGTTCATATACTATATACACATATGTATGTATATGTGAGCCTATAAGTAGATAACAAGTGCGGTGTACGAATGTGTGAGAAGTATCAAAAGCACAACAAAAGCACTTGAAAGCACAAACACATAGCAGAGTTAGAGTGTTGGTGAGGAATAAGAAAAATCCACGCAAAGGCGTATCAGTATGTGCTAAAATCCACTTAAAAGTGCTGCTACATTTGTACATATGTATCTATATATGAACATATGTATATAGAAATGCACAGATAGCCGTAAAAATGTCTACGTTTGTATTATCAGCATCTACGAAAAACCGCAATTATAAATGTGTACATATATGCACCTAAAAATTTATATGTTAGCACATACATACATATATACATGCATGCCTATATACCTTCTTTGCTGTGTGATTTTTAAAGTGAAAGTTATGCTGTCTACACGCTGCGCACAACGGCAATCACAATATCAATGAAAAAAAAAACAACAACAATAGCCACAATAAACAACAGCCAGCTTAACGTTTGTTTTTTTTTTTTGCTTTTTCCACGTCTGTTTTTGGCTGCGTTCGTTTGC